ATTACTCGAGGTATACCACAAGTGAAGGATGACTGTTAGAAAGGAAGCATGTTTACAGCACACACTGCACTATACATAGAAGAATGGAACACCTTCTCCTAGAAGAAATAAAATTGGTGCGAAGACTGCGGAAACAATGAAGCTGGTGGCGTTCCCCTCCTCTAATCCCTCCTCCTCACCCTGAATTCTCTTTCCCACTCTGTCGCTATGCTTTCTACAAATGGCTGTGGTATGCTTTCTTTCTCTCTCTTCCGCTTTTTTCTCTTTTCTTTCTTTATTTCTCTGTCTGTCTTTCTCTCTCTGCTTCTTTATCTTTCTCTTAGTCCTTTCCTCCTTCTCTCGCCCATAGACACGCAATACTGTGGTGGTTCTCCACAAATGCTTATTCTGCCAGCGTGCCTGCATAGCCGAGTGGTTATGACACTTGTCTTCGGACCGTAGGTAGCCCAATCAAAATGCCGCCTTGGCAGCAAATTTTGTTTTATTTTATTTTTTGTAGCTTCTCCTTTCTTTCCTCGAACGCGTTGTTAGGAGACGCTTTGTGACGTCATTGCTTGGCAGGTGGCGCATGCCAACCCGAGATTGTGACGACGCCATGGGCGTAACCAAGCGGGGTGTGGGGCATTGAAGACCCCGGAAATTGTTCAATTTTGCTTGCGTATATAAACGAACACATACAAATGCACACACGAACATACATAGAGCATGGTGGAACCCTCCGCTGAAAAAAGAATTATAGATCTGCTCCTATTCAACGCCACGCGAACTTTTGCCAAGTTTATTTAAACGGGTCCACGTGTAAATAAAAAGTGAGGTAACTTTGTGGTATGGGTGCTAAGTCCGAAGGAAGTGCCGAGCTGGGCAGCTTTCGTTGTTTTTCTTGGGTTTTTCTGTTATGTGCGAAGCAGCTCTTTGACTATCCTATGTAACGCTGTCCCTCCGTGTGTCCGTACGAACGCGCCACAACTCGCTATCCTCGCCGCAGGTGTTGGAGCGGTGCCAAGTAGGTCACGCCGCAGCTGCGCGTTGACGTCATACTCTCCTTGCAGTGCACGCTAATGTCACTCTCTCCATTGCCTGCCTCGTGCTCGCCGCAGCTCCTGCAGCAGCCGCCTCGTCAGTTCGCCCACAACACCTGCCGCTCCCGCCGCTCGCTACACCGTGGACTCGCCGGTTCACGCGCAATAAACCTGACGTGCGCTTAACGTACCCGTTGAAACATGTCTGTACGTGTGACTTTTCTTTCGCTTCACCCTCTCCAGCGCTCGCAACACCCGAGCGCACATTGAGTGGCAACTCTCTTTCGGCTCATTTATCTGCGATGGAGAGGACGCCAGAAGACGACGCTCCTTCGCCCACCGAAACATCCGCCAAAGTGATTAGGCCTAAGCCGGCTGTCACCTGCGTTGCGAGGTTTAGCTAAGCCGATCGTGTTCGCGAATGGCGACGTCGCGCCTGCAACACAGACGAAGCGCGAACCAGGGAAGCTTAACGCAAGCGTCGGCAACGCTGCTGCTTCGCATCCCATTGGTGTGTCCTTTGGGAAGATGGTGTCTTTTTTTTGCTTTCTTTCTTTCCTGTGATGTTTTCCTTTTATCTGTGTTTTAAATGTGAATTATTTCTTTTCGTACTGCGAGCACTTTTGGCGTTATTGGGTGCTCTCGTAATCACCCCTTTAACTTGGCGTGAACCAACATTAGTATGCGAGGGTAAGATTGGTTGACGAATATGACACGCTGGTCAAGACATGAATAATGTCACGATTCCGTCACGTATGTCGTCAAACACTTCCCGCCAGACAAAGGCACATACTCGCGGAGAGGGGGGGTGCCACTGTTGTGTGCCACAGGTGACAGACACTTAGCATGTACCCAGGAACGAAGAGAACGCTCATGGGCAATTTTAACGCGTGAACTTTGAAGGGGCCCTGAAACACATTTTTCAAGTACCCATGTAATGAATTCACTGGAAGAGCTTATTGCCTCACAAATTCAATGCTGCAAAAATTGTAAGAATCTGTCCAGAGCAAGCAGAGTTACGAATATTTGTCGCATGCTGCAATTGCATTCTCTCTACTCCCGTCCTGACGAAAGTGCTGGAAGCTAAGCAGGGGGGGGGGGGGGGGGATGGCAGCGCAAAGAAAAACGTCATGCACACCTCGTGACCTTAAGCACTTTTTTCTTCTTTTTTTTTTCTTAGATCACCCCCGGGGTGATCTCTGTAACAACCAAGCGCGCCATGTTCAAATCAGCCAATGGCTGAAAGATGGGTTTGCTACGTGTGATTTTTGAGCGTCTTCCGTCATCTGACGAGAGAAGAGGAAGCCATTTTTATTTGACTTTGATAATTTATTGTGAATTCCAGGCCTCGTGCTGCGCTATATTATTTGGCTAGCGTGTTTCTACTTACTGATCGGCGGCGTTTTCTGACCATGCTCAAAAAGTGCTGCAGGACCCCTTTAAGAAAAACCTGTTATCGGCAGCGTTTACCCAACAAATGCACAGAATAAATGTCAGGATTCCAGCAGGAATAGAACCCAAACATTCTGCGTGGCAAACAAGCATTCAACTACTGAGCCACGCCAGATCTCGGAAGTACTTTTCAAATATACCCTAATGTTCGTGGCATGTCCAGAACAGGCTATCTAATTTTATAAGCATTACATATGTACTCCTCTGATACAGCCATCACGTCGGGTTAACGTCAATTGTAGTTAGGTGCCATGCACTGAAGTTGATATATGTAGCAGTGTCCAAGGCTGTCATCCTGGCGAGCACCAGTGCTTCATATCAGCTTATCGCTTCTGGTGTTGACGAATACTCGTGTTTCTGTTGGCATCGTTCCGCAAGTCCAAAAAACTGGCTATATAAACATGAGCAACTCTTCAACGTATGTCTCACTTGAAATAATTTTATTTCCGAAATAATTTTACATACACGGAAGACATTCATCCGATGCAATTTCGTACTCAAGACATTCATAATATACCTTAATATACATGCATTAGTACAACGGGAACTGTTTGTGTTTAAAGCAAACGTTTGACGTTTTAGAGCGCGAGTACTAGCTGTAGGGGAGCGTTGAGCTGTCCTGGAGTGCACAATTTGTATATTTTTCCGAACTGTGTTTAGAAAAAGTGGTCAACGATTTAAAGCATACTATGGAAGGGCATAAAACAGTCCCAGCGAGACAGGTAACTGGCGTAATGCCACATAATACTGTACCTGATTTAGAATAAATTGTGAACGATGTAGAGCATTTTAGGCACAATAATGCGGCAGAGCCAATGATTACAGACCGTTTCAACTGGCTAGACAATCTAAGTTTTGCGTTCGCGAACTCCTTTTGGCACAGACTCACTATTTTCATGGTTCCATCTCCTCATATCTAAATTTTGCTCCAATAATCAGGCAAAACGAAAACCTGTCAGTACAAAATAAGTTCTCGACTTCGAGGGCATGTTCATGTCGACTCAAATCATTTAGCGTAATGGTTCTTAGAGGCCGCCAAACTTAATTTGCCACCAAATTTAATAGTGTCGACCCACGTTTGAGCAGCGGGACAGCCTTGCCGAGGAGGACCTCCCGTCGTATCAGAAATGAGCCCGTGCATTTTCTGAGCACGCATCTATATACAACTACAGAGGTACATATCCGGTCACGTGTCAGTGGGCACAGCAGATGCCGTTATGTGACTCGTTTGAATGGCACGTATGCTTGGTAAAAGAAACACACACAGAAGTCCACACTCTCTGTGTACAGCAGCCTCACAAGGGTGTTCCGGACCCGCCCATCTTACCATAGGCTTCGGCAGGGGGTGCAAAACGAGCACATAAAGACCCCTCCTCACTTCTACTCTCCCGCCCTACTTCAGGCCACATCTGCACTTGCTCCCTCCACCCAATAAACACAGTCGGCTCTCCCCCAGCGCGATGCAGCATGGACATTTGGTAATGTGCCCAGAGTACATTACCAAATGACTCACTATGCACGACCATTGGCTATAATCATGCACGGGATCTATCTATCTATCTATCTATCTATCTATCTATCTATCTATCTATCTATCTATCTATCTATCTATCTATCTATCTATCTATCTATCTATCTATCTATCTATCTATCTATCTATCTATCTATCTATCTATCTATCTATCTATCTATCTATCTATCTATCTATCTATCTATCTATCTATCTATCTATCTATCTATCTATCTATCTGATTACTTTCTTTTCAATCTTGGTAATCGACAAACCGGTCTAAAAGCTGTGATGCTTTGTATAATAGCATTCTGTAGGATAATGATGTAACGCACCCGACACGGGACACGAGGAAAAAAACACCTAGTAGGCGCATATTTATCGCTAAGTGCGTGTGCGTATTTATAGTATAGTACTGTTCTTATAGTATACATAGTAATCTTACAGTATAGCACATTCACTTCTTCAAACCCACGTGTTTTAACCTCCCCAACTTGAAGAGTGCTCGTTTTATGCGCTTGCGCCATCTGTGATCTTACTGGTGAACTACATTGGCTAGCTCAAAGGCTTTTGAGATGGGAGCCCTCGCGCGCCTAACTTGAAAATACGTACCTGGAGCGTACGCTCCGCCGCAAATTAATTTGTTTGTTTGTTTCTGTTTGTGTGTGTGTTTGTGTGTATTTGTGTGTTTGTGTGTGTGTGTGTGTGAGTGTGTGTGTGTGTGTGTGTGTGTGTGTGTGTGTGTTTGTTTGCGCGTGCGTGCGTGCGTGCGCGCGGGCAGATTTTATTTAGTGGTCAGCCTTAATAATTACACAAAAGGGAACGCGTTAAGACGCCTATGGCGGCCGGGATAGACACTTCACAGTAGTGCGAAAATTGCGCGTGTGCACTTTCGTTAAGTGTCACAAATGTATGTCGCGTGTCGTTAAAATCGGTGCGTTGGCTTTAACGAGTCATACATAAGCTTGCTTGACTCGTGGTTTGCCCCCTATACCTGAGGGCGTCTTAAGCCATAGCAGTTGATAGTCGTTTTCAAGTTGATAGCCTTTTTCATGTTTCATACGAATGTGTGTTCGAATGTTTAATGAAGGAGCCGTGGCGCGAGGCGCCCTGAGAATAAAGATACTCTGTATCTCTGTCCAGCAAAAATTAGCCATAGGCAGCGCGGGTATAAACCACTGCGACTGTTCTCATAAAACTGACTGCGCCGTCAAGGTGACAGACAAAGGAAAGGTCACCGGGGGGGTGGGGGGTGAGGGGGCAATGCCACGTTCATTGCAGGGTCTGGCTATTCGGCTAACGGTTAGCGCCGACTCCACTGGCCGACCCTCTACAGCACTTTCGGGCATGAGATGTGTGTGCCCCTACGATAGTCGAGACGATAGTCTTGGCACTGCAGATCAGCTGTTGTAAATGGAACCGTGCATACGCCAAAGCACTGTGGTCTACTCACGCTGGAAAACGGCGAAACGGTAGGCGGTATGCGTGGGTAGCAACTAGTTCGCTGCATTTTAGGTGGACTGAATGAGGAAAGCGTTCGAGTGCATTAGTGATGGGGATATCAGGGTGGCAATAAATCGACGATCTCCAGACTACGATACCCCGACCACACATAAATTCAAGCATCACACAACCGCGACAACTTGTGCCCATCGCAAAGTAACTCATACATTTATGTCATTCCACCTTGTTTGTATTCCGCTTTTTTTTTTTGTCTTGCAGATGACGTCAAGCAAAAGAGAAAAAGGCTACGCACAATAAGTTTCTTTTCTCTCTTTCTCTTTTTTTTTTTGGGGGGGGGGGAAGAAGGGGCTCGATACAACCGCTTTTTCACTTCGTGAAAAGTTTAAGGAGCTAATTACAACGCTCTACTCAGTAATTATATTTGTTCCCCGACAGGAGATTTGATGCCCTGCCGTTGTGCCTACGGAAAACGAAGCTACAAAATTGATATAAGCAAAACAAACATCAAAGAAGTGCAAAAATAAATTCATAAAAAGTGCCGGGTACTTCAGAAAGGCTTCATGAAGGAAAACAACATTTTTAACAATCTCTTCTTCTTTAAGGTGGAGGCTGGGAGGACTGTGTATTGAGGCTGGCTCATTCTTTTTTTTTTTTCTAACTCAGTACTTTGTACCGACCGATTTACTCCCTTGTGGGTTAACATGTCGTTCGTAAGAAGAAAAGAGTTATTAGGAAGACAATGGGCAATCAAAATGAACAAAGCGCCGGCAGAGGCCTGCTGTGTGTGTTTATCAAGTAATGAAAGAAATGAAAAAAAAAACTGGAGACAATAAATACGCACAGTCTATTGAATTCGCGACAACAAAGTGAAGCAATACATAAGTTTGGACTGAAAGATTGTAGTAGTTTAAAAGCCCCAGTGTCCTTAATTTCTGAAGTACAGGTTTATTATTAGATGAGAAAATCAGCCTGCAGCATCACGTTAAATTTTCTGCTAAAGCTCTCGTAGGGGACGTCACAGATCTCGGCGTTTTTTTTTTACAACACTCGCTCAATTAAACTCAAAAACCTTAATATGTTACGTCTCCGGCTTGCTAAGACGATCATAAGCGTAGCCCGGATGGGAAGGAGGGTTGAGGGTTCAAATTCCTTGCTCCGCCGCATCTTTTTTTCCAATTCGGCTAGCTTATATCACCGCACAGTTACAAACGCACGTACGAGCATACATAATGTATGATTGAACTTCTCTACTTCACCCGAAAAAAAAAAATTCTGGCTACGCCTTTGAAGGCACTGCACTTTGTCTTTACCTATTCGTAACTACGCAGACGCTGTCGAAATTTATAACGGGGGCGGGAAGTGATCGATTACTGCGGGAAGTTATAGGTTTCGTCGCAACCCATAATTTTTTTTTTCGTGAACTTTTCTCCCTATGCAGCTGCATCTTCTCGCAAGAAATGTAGCTTGTCTCTTTAGTGTCTAAGTTTTCAAGCTATACGCCAGTAGCAATCGAAAAGTGTGCGGCACTTTTCTTTTAAAAACTCGCAGGGTGACCTTATGATATGGATGACTCGAAAGTGAAAAAGCCATCTTATTTTTTTAAGTGTGAATACACTTTATAAGCGACCCCAAACCATCCACCGCCGTCGGCGGCGTCCGCAGTCTTCTCTCTATCTTTAAAAGAAAGAGGACTTGGCGGGCCGCAGCGCGACGCTCTACCGAATAAGCCACGGACGTGGTGGTGGTGGTAGTGATTAGAATGAAGAGGAAAAAGACACCTAATTTCTGTCTGCCTTCAGGCGACACGGCGCAGTGCCTTATAGGGGTGGGGGGAAGGAGGGATAAAAAGAATAGAAGGAAAGTAGAAGCAGAAGAAGACAGCCAACGAGAGGAAAAAGAAGGAGATAGGAAAGTGGGGATCCGGTCGAAGCAGTCCAAGGGCGGGGTGCCACAATGCGAGAGCTACACGGCGTCAGGAGACCGCGGAGGGCGAACCAGTCGGCGGGAGCTACGCTGAAGTCGGAGATCGCGAGGGCACAACCGTCCAGCTTGAAATCCTGCGAGCGAATCCAGCCACGGACGTGACGCTGATATCGGTGTCAGTAACGCGCCTTATACCCCCTCCCCCTTCGCTCGCTCCTCTGCTCTCCTCGCTCGCTGCAGCTGCGCGCGCACCCCTCTTTCTCGCGCGCCCGCCTTCTCTCTCAGTCTCCCGTCGAGAGTGGGTCGTGAGGGGGAGTAAAGTTAAAATCCGTTGGCATTCGCCAGTGAGTTAACGTAAACTACCCCGTGTGATCGAATTGCGATTCCCAGGAACCATTACACCATAAAGGCATTACAGTGTGATTAATAAATATACTAGTGCGAATTAATAAATACCCCTCATAGCATCACCCCGTGTATTTGCACTTAACCATGTTCACCCTCGGGGAAATGCTTGGGAGTTTTTTCTAATCGGTCGATGTTTTCTGCATACAACTGTGTCTTGCAGTGCCTCCAAGATCGGAGGCACCTCACATGGTTTCGCATGGCCTTCTTGATCGCCCCACCTCCGACTACACGATGCCATGCGATGACGTCTAGTGACGTTATGTCAATGTGACGTCATATCGAAGTCACGTATTTTGTTGAACTGTGACGCCATATGGTGACGTATCAGTTGATGTTTTTTTTTTCTTTTTTCCTTTTTTTTTTGGCACCGCTCGTTGCCGACGCCGCGGGCAGCTGACACCGAGGGTCAAATTTGGCGTTTGACAAAGGGAATCTAAGTCTTTCGCCTTGATAATAGACTTAGTAAGTCGGCATATTCCGGGGACAGCTCAAGAAACCTACCTCCGCATGCAGCCCAAGAAATGACGAAACAAATGCAAAAAAAAAATGAAAACACAGAACAGCAGGACGAAAATGCACACTTCGTCCGGTCATTCTGTGTTTTTCTTCTCTTTTGCTTAGTCATCTTTCGAAGAACGCTTTCTTGGCGTCTCTTATAGATCTCTTCATTGGAAACTGGAGAGCACCTGCTTTCAAGATTTTGGCACAGGAGTACGAAGGTGGACGGACGCTGACGTCACTGCCTCGGCAGTCCATTATACGTAGGGCCACTCATACTTACCGCTAGAGGGAGTCATGTCAGCACCCGGGCAGGCTTTGTTGAAATGGTGTAGGGTGAATGCATGTCCACGCATGACTACCGATTTCTAATAGCTTTGTGAAGCGGCGAGTGATTGATTGATTGATTGATTGATTGAGTGAGTGAGTGAGTGAGCGAGTGAGCGAGTGAGTGAGTGAGCGATCCATCGTGCTGGCAAGGTGCCCTGATAACTTCGATATTTCTTCAGTAGACACGGCAGAAACGTAGTGAAGACAGCGTGAACAAGTGTCAATGATGTGTCCAGATATGTTGAACTGCCACCCTTGTCTTTTTCTTCCTATTTTTTAAGAGCACGTACGGTTGTGTTCTTCATTTAATGTGGATAACTTTGATTGGTGGGGACATTATCAGAGTAGTATGTTATACGTTCATGCGGGTGATGTATTCATGTGCATGATGTGTGTTTTTGGTTGAAACTGGAGCATGTAATGCAACGCCTCAATGAAGATAAGGTCTGGTCCTAGGTGGTCCGCCATGTTGTAAACTGTTAATCATTGCCAGCTTTTATACTTCTGCGACAGCAAACATCGCACCCAAATACCTCACACAATACACACTTCGCTCTACGGAGTGACACTGTAAGCAATTGGAGCACGAAAAACAAAATATGAGAGTTGAGAGAAAAACATGAACTATGGGGTTCTTTCACAGACCACAGCAGTCCTACGCAAGCCGAATCAAAAACCACGAAACTTTGCCGATAGTGCAGACAGAGTAAGTTCAAGCATGAAAGTTCTCTATATATATGTTCCGGGAGCCGTAAGCATGTACAACTAGACCCCTCTTTCATTCGCTACTTGCAAAAATAGAGCATGGTGTCTCAGTACAGTCGCAAGCGACGGTAACGAGCACGGTTCCCACATGTAACGTCGCCGTCACGTTACGCACCGTGACTTCGAAACTATAGAACCGCATCGCGAACGCCATGTTCAAATATCGTTTATCATAAATGTTTAAAATATGGCCGTCTGTGACGTGTTCATAGCCCCAAAATATATTCTCGAGAAGCCTGCAGTCAGGAAGAGCACAATCTTCAATATCTAGATCCGTTAGTCAATTCAAGATGACGCAGATGCATGGGCACTAACATCGATTTTAGGGATTCGTGAATTTTTTGCGAGTAGCAAAGTAAGAGCTGCCAATGGGGACAAGATTACGGTATGAATTTCAAGTAAATAAGTAATAGCAATATTATGTGATCACATAAAAACGTATTGAATTCGTCAATATAGGCATTCTTACAGCCACTGCTTTCTGCGGAAATGCGCCTTGTTCCCGCCATCTGTTTTTAGTAACAGTTAATATTCGATTACACGACATTTCTGAAAAAAAGTTTCCTTCAATCACATAGCTAAAAAAGTGAAAGCGCCTTTTCCTTCACGTGCAATGCCCTTTTACCTTAAGCTGGCC